CATGCCATGTGCAGCACATTCTACGGGGTGGAGTGTTTGAAAGGTTGTAGTTGGAAAAACTGGAAGCAATCCTGTCACTTCGTTACCTCAGCCACTTATGTGTTTTGAAATATAATGGTTTGCAATCTTTAATCTTGCTGCTGTAGGTAGTGCAAAACAAAATCCTGATGAAAACTTGCAGTTCCCTTTCAATCACAATGCTTCCACACGTCTCCTTTAAAGGTGCTCCTTCAGGTCCATTCAAGCTTTACTGCCTCACGGGATTTCCTGTCGTGCCACCCAATCATTCTGGCAGCTCTGCTTAACATGCTAAATGAGGCTCAACCACAAAATTTGATTGGGTCTCCCATTAATGACACTGCCGTTCCCTGACTGCACATTGTATGTCCACATGAAAATTGACCCCTGTACCTTTAAATTAGAAACAGAAGTCACTTCACTTACAGATATGATTCAACCTGTAATGGAAATCAGTCAGCAGTAAAGATAGCTTTAGCTTTTACTTTATTGTATAAACTCCTTTTTGGAACTAACATTTTAAAAATGGGAGCCTTAATTCAATCATTGGTAGGTAAATTTCATCACTAGACTTAAGAAAATCTCAAATAGATATGTAGATAACAAATAATTTTCCATCCAAAAGATTTTTACTTTCATTCCATTGATAGTGAAATTGGTTTTCACTTGTGCTTGGCAGGAAATGAATGGCCTCAAAATTGAGGCTAAACTGTTCTGGTAATCCCAGTGTCAGAAGGCTGCATTTTAAAAGGGGCTAACTGATACGCATTAAAAGACTCTGTGCGTTTCAGGCAATAGGTCCTCTTTATCTGCATATCCCTGACATGTATGACATAAACAGGTCCCAGTCAGTGTGCCAAGGCAGGCCGTCACCCACAGGTCAAAATCAGGCTACCCCTGGCTGTCCCAATGTTAAACTAAAGATTTCATAGGCCTGCCACAAAGTTAACACGCTTTCATTGACTATGTATTTATTGTACAAGTGTAGCCAACTAAAGACAGTGGATCTTTCTATGATGTACTTTTTGGGACCAATCCAGATATCATATTATAATGAACTTTGCAAGGGGAAGCATGGTTAAATCAAGGCAAATTGCTCTCAAGCTTACCTTACTAATTTGAAATCAGCAAGAATGCTCCTGAGATGTGCTATACTGTATCAATCTAAATTACCCCCAGGAAGAAAAGAAAGAACACTGAGAATGGCTGATAACTGATGTTTTCACTTTTCACTGCTTGGTAGTTTGTTCAAACTCCATTCTTTAGCCTCAGTTTTGTTACTTTTTTTTATCCAGTCATTTGATGTTGGCACCATTGGCAATTCCAGTATTTATTGCTTCTCCCTAAATACTCTTAAAAGTGACAGCGAGAACTGTCTCCTTAAACTGCTGCAGCGTGTGTGGTGTAGATACATCCACTGTGCTATTAAAGACAGGTTCTACAGTTTTGACGAAGCACCTGTAATGGAACTACAAAACATTTCCAAGTCAGGAAGGTGAGTGACTTGGAGGGAATTTTGCAGGTAGCTGTGTTCCCATGCACTTGCTGCCCTTGTCCTTCTATGTTGTTGGGATTGTGAGTTTAGAACATGTTGTTAAAGGAGCTTGACAGGTTGCTGCAGTGCATCTTGTAGATGGCACACAATGCTTCCATAGTGCACCAGTAGAGGAGGCAATGACTGTTTCAGATCATGGATGGAATGCCACTTAAACAGACTGCTTATTCCTGGATACTATTGAGCTTGACGGATATTGCTGGAGCTGTATTCATCCAGAGAAGTGGAGAATATTTCATTATACACCTGACATACTTTGCAGATGGAGGCAAGTGGACTTAGGAGGTGAATTTTCAACCTCTGAACTACTCTTGTAGCCAGAATATTTACAGAAGGAAAATACATAGATGTTGTAAATCTGAAAAAAAAAAAAGTACTGGAAAAACTCAACAGGTCAGGCAGCAGAGTCACAGCAATATATGGTTAGTCCAGTTATATTTCTGGTAAATGCTGACCTCCCAGGTTGTTAATGCTAGAAGAAGGTGATGAGATTCTCTCTTGTTGGTGATGGTCATTGTCATGCATCTGTGCGGCACAGAAGTTACTTCTCACATCAGTCCAACTTTAATAGTTATCCATGCATCATTGAATTGATTATTTATTTGTTTTTTTATTCTCCTTCTCTTAAAGCGCCAATGGTCCACTTCCATGCTGTTGGCTTCCCTTTGCTAACTTCTTGAAGTGATCACCATTCATGCTTGATCTAAAGATTGTGAAATCACATTTACTTAGGACAATTCAACTTAGCCCTACCCCTTCTCCAATTTCCACCCTCTCCCAATGAATCATAAAATTCTGGTACTTGTTAGCAAATGTCACTAGATAGAGATAAGAAACACGATTCCTGACAGTTTGCCCACTGATAGAGCCAATATTTGACTGAACTGTAATGGAAAACAAATTTCCAAGATTTCCCAACAAATAATTTTATCCCTTAAATGAATAAAGAAAATTCTTTGCCAATCATAACCAAAACATGTTCGGTTTGTTTTTTGCTGTTCAACATTGTAATTACTTGTGCACAATTCAGTGACAATTATTGAGAATTATCTCAGCTACAGAGCGATGGGGCATGAGTTTATGACATATTTGCTGAAACAGAGAGTTCTTTAATATCCATCCAGAAGAGTCAGGTTGTGCTGCAGTTATTTGGCACTGTGGGAAGAGGGAAGTTCATTCTAGCAAAGTGACCAGAACTGCCTGTAAGAAATCTGTGTTCTGAGGAAGGGTTACCGGATTCGAAACATTAACTTTGATTTCTCTTCACAGATGCTGCCAGACCTGCTGAGCTTTCCAGCAACTTCTGTTTTGGTGTAAGAAAACTGATTTACTTTGTCACTCAAGATCTACCAAGGTGTTGAAAGTAAGTTTAGGTTTGACAAGGCCATAGAGAAGTTGCCACATGCCCAACTCCCCTCCCAGGAAAAGCGTTTTGAATTTCATTTCGATATCACATTTAGAAAAACCCACACATTGCATAAATGAAGATACTTTCAAAATCAATGGTAGGTTTTTGTTTGCCCATGGATCATTTCATGCTTAATTGGGTAAAAGAATAAGTGGATAATGTTAATTCAACCTCCTGGATGGGAAACCCAACAAGTAAAGTGAAATGACACGGTGTAGAGCTGGATGAAC